AGTTGGGAACGTTGCCTGCCATTCGCTCGTACCCCCTCCCTGCAAACAGGACGATGGGATACTCTGATGAATTCGCGCTCTGATTGGTTGGATTTTGCGTGACCTGTGACCTGCGCTTCATCACGGTCATGACTCTGCAAGGTTTGAAACGGCCGTTAAGACTGATTCCTTACCCTTTTATTCCAGTTTAGAGATTTTTTTGTTGAAAAAGCGTAATAATGTAGGAAATTCTGTAAAGCTTATCTGTGTTGTAAATTTACAATTCCCGTCACGTGCTCAGGTTCCGTTTCGAATCACGAACGGTCGGATTGCATTGTGCCACGCTCAAAATTTTGTCCACATGGTCCGCAATTAATGAAGCAGAAATCACATCTGGTATGGGAATGTGCGCATTTCTATGGGGAAGTCTTCGGATAACATTTGCGCGCACTGTCTAACTGCGGTCTTGAACAGCTGCAGCCAGATGCTTTATACATAGGTCATAGGCCACTTCCTTCACAAGATTCTGTGAAGCTCATCAGTGTATCCCTGCGTCCTGTATGCAGGGCGGGGGTACGAACGAATGCCTAGCTGCCATCACACTCACAACTCTGTCGATAGGTGGCGACATCCCATCGTATGGTATTTTCCCTGTTCTTGTCCAAGTCTCACATTGAGAGTGCGGCGTGAGGAAATGGGTTCTTCCCATATCGGTTGATGAATTGCGTTACAAAAGCCTTCTATCTATATTGTTGCACTATAGGACGCCCTCTATTTGTCATTTTGGTGTTTGGTGCATCATTATCAAAAGAGGCGGGATGAGTGGGTAAATTGCATTGAAGGAGCTAGTCAACAGTTTAAAGGTGTAGTCCATCATTTGTAATTTGTGCATTTTGTTCGTTTGAAGCAACAAAAGAGTTCAAAATCTAATGAAGGATACTGAGCAACTAACCTGATGAAGTTTCAGCTCAGCTTCAGCTGTACATTCCGAGAAAAACAGCATTCTAAGATCTCAATTTCAAATCAAAAGTTGCTGAATCATGTTTTGAATTGTTTTGAATTGCAACTATACGCGACGTCGCGCACTGATCCGACGAATTATAACGACCGCGCGCGCGTGTGCGTCGTTCGAATACTTGTGCGCGCTGCGCTGAATAACAAAACGAACTACTAATTTAAATTTTCCTACGGTGCTTCTTAAGAATCACTGTTGGAACTGCCTTCTTTCGTTGATTACTTCAAAATGACAGCTTCCCAGAAAGAATAATTTCACAGGGAGTTTAGTCTCCTTACTATCTTTCAACCAAGTTAGTTTTTCAACAATATTTACGCCAGTTACTTTTCGGATGGCTGCAAATGATGGACTCTACCTTTAAGTTTGAAGTGGGGCTGGTACCATCTTCAAATGGGGGCGCTGTTCATATCGGACCATCATGCACACTATCGGACAATAGATGGCGGTTTTCAGGGTGGCACAATTGCCGACGGTCGCGCGAAATTCCAAATAGGGCACTTGTAAAAGGCACTGGTAAAAAAGGGCACTTGTTTTAGAAAAAAAGACACTTGTTCAAATTAAAAACAAGGGGAGAATACTCCCCTTATACCCCTCCCTTTCCCCTCCCGCTGGCTACGCCTCTGGGGGTAGTGTTGATTGTGTGTGCTGTGATAACCGGTCATGCAAGGCAGTAGTGTGTGATTGGAAGTAGTCATCCCAATCTACCTGGTTTGTACAGGGAACATTCATCTACTGATGAAAAGAAATAGTTCAGCACCATTTCTAATTATGCCTCAATGTTTAGTGTAGTCCTTGTACATGTACCATGAATACTGGCGATGGGCACACAGTATGCACTATATTTAAATGTACATTCTATCAGAAACTGGTAGTATTACAAGCTGTGTGCCACCCCCGTCTGATCTGATTGGTGACTTTGGCACATGCAAACCAGTTAGCAGATACTATTTGCACAACTTGTGCCAAAAGCACTATAGAAGTTTGCATATGTGGCTCTTGTGAGCTGACACTCATGCCTACAACTGGTTGATGAGTGTTTTTGTATGCCTACAACAGACCGGTTGTGTGAAAATAGTACGGTGATAATGCACACTGATCTAGATATAGAGCACATCTTTACTGTCCTGTGTGTAAAATGTTCTTTCTACATGTCAAATGCATGCCAAGCAAGCCCAAGTGGCCACATTTACTATTAGTCAGACATATTTTTGTCTATATAAATTGCTTGGATTCTCTTTTTTCAAATTTCTTTAGTTAATTTTGGTAGCAAACTGCTTTTTTGGTCCTTCAATATGGAGATTGGGGTTCATGCTCTCGAACCGTGTGATGTGGCGCAGAACGTAGCGGTGTTTTACCGGCGCTGTAAAACCACCCACGTGTCAGGGTAAACTGTCTTAGGTATATTATACTGCACTGGGAGAAGGCTTTAATATGTGCTGGCTAATAGTTCTTGAACCAATGTATGAAACACCATCACCCATTATGGATTGACTAAATTTCATTCTTTGGCCTTATAAGGGCGCCTCACGTTAAGACAAAACAAAGGGCAAATGGCGTCCCAAAACAGTACATAACTTGTCGACTTAAGGTCTATATTAGAATGGCAAGAACGTCTGGCATTGTCAGCGTATCTCTAACAATTATTGTCACTGATGTTCCATTTTAAAATGCTTACTAAATCACGCCATTAAGAATTAACTACAATTTGTTGCATGCCAATTTATCTGAGGTAAAGTCATTGAAATGCGAGCTTAACAGTAAATGTGTTTAAAAACCAAGTATGATTCTGGTCTTGAATGCATGTCGTTGGCTCGTACTTTCATTGCATCTCAGTAAAACAATGTGTGTTTGTATGGACAAAGACCCTCGAATCTGAAATCCGGTTCAAAACCAGGAACTCTGTTTTTATTATTTCCAGAGCACGTTTGCCGGATATATTTTCATACAGACTTGTAATAACAACCGGAAATGTTTACGACTTAGCATGCTTACATTGTCTAAGATTTGGTGTTTTATGGCATTATGTCACACACTTGAAGGTTGTTTTCGTAAACATGCATTAATGGTCATACCATCTGCATTAACATTTACAACGTGAGACAATCGACGTATTACTTTTGAACTCACACGGAAAGTGTCCTTTGTATTTTGGTATGTTTATGGATCCTTTGAGATGTATTATGATTTCTGAATTACGACTCGGTACAATAAATTGCAGGTACTTTTCCTGAGGTTGGAAAGTTTCAAAGACGGTAGGAACCAATGTTTGTGACAATAAAAAAGTCGCAGATCAGTAAACATTGATCGTATTACATAATTCAACGAGTCACGCGGGTTTCTTATTCCTTATTTCTCACCGAACTACAGCTATGAATCGCCAATGCACAAATTATCTTTAAACCCTTGATTACATCCGATCAACCCCCAACAAAAAAAATAATAGCTTATACTTATTGCACCTGCAAATTAAAACCTCCATCCCAGTCCCGAGGAGACCTATAATATCCAAGTCCAGATAGGGTTAAGAATCTGTGTTGTCATTATCTTCTCAATGTGATTTTGTTTGATTGAATTTCGAGTGAATTGCGGCTCCTCTCCAATGACTGTTGATACAGAGGGAGCCCCTTGAATTCGAAATTTGTTCCAACCAGAAACTACGTAGTGCATGTTGACAAAGCACGTTCGTGGGATGTAATTTCATACAGCCTGGTAGTGAGACCCGTTTAAATTTTCAACAAATTGCCATATGATATCTCCAACTGTCGAAGTCGTTTCTTGAGGTTGTTTCTTCGACATCTAAAATGAGCATGCAATCTGCGTTGACGTTTAAGAAGTTAAAGCACTGTATATTTTTGTGGGGGGAGAGGGCGCTTTAAAGAATTAATCAAAAGAATGCTGATTATTTCCATACAGTTAAGTTAATTGTAACTTCATTCACGGTACATTTAACATGATCTTTTAATTTTTTGAGGTTAACACAGCACTGGCGTGTCATCTGTACGGGGGGAGTAAAACAAAAAAAGGAAACCAAAATGGCAGGACCAATTATTTAATGAAGCTCTGCATATAGCACCTTCTCTTTCAGCAAAACGAACACAATTCACATGGCGATGTATGTGAATTGTTTTCGAATAATAAGGGAATAAATAACGTGTTTGGCCGGTTTTTAACAAGTACGTTTTTATGAAAACCGGCCAGGCACGTTATTTATTACCAGTCATCGATACCTTTTTTGGTCAAAAAAATCAAAATAAGTCAAATATAAATACATCTTCAGCAAATTTGACTGGTTTCCAGTCAAATCTTACTAATGCTTTTTTAGAGTGTGTGTGTTTGTATGGACAAAGACCCTCGAATCTGAAATCCGGTTCAAAACCAGGAACTCTGTTTTTTTATTTTTTCCAGAGCACGCTTGCTGGATATATTTTCATACAGACTTGTAATAACAACCGGATATGTTTACGACTTAGCATGCTTACATTGTCTAAGATTTGGTGTTTTTATGGCATTAAGTCACATGCTTAAAGGTTGTTTTCGGAAACATGCAGTGATGGCCATACCATCTGCATTAACATTTGCATTGTAAGACAATCGATGAATTAATTTTGAAGTATCTTAAACCCGGATGCTTGATACTGTAAACACCCTCTGAATCCGCCTTGGCTCAACTCCTAAAGATCCCCCAATGTCGACCCTCCTTTCGCGTGCCAAGTTACTTTATTGGTTTAGTCTTTTGGATCAGACGTTATTTGTAGATGCAGTGCTGCTCATGAAACCAAGCCTCAACATTCCATTTCCTTACAAGACTAAATCATCTGCAGAATCATCAGAATGCTGTGTGGCGCATTGTGAACGTCTTGTACAAAGACTAAGCATGCTGGTGTTTACGTGACAGATGTTTGTTACTTTGGAACTTTGTGTAAGAAAGTTTGTTTGCATTATGTTCATGGGCTATTTATAGACACTTCGACTCTATATAACACCAAGCTGTGGTGAGTGTCGGAGCCCAGACGATTCTAAAGGTGTCGTACCGCATCCATCGCATGAGACAATTGCTGCAGGAGATTGTCTGAGTTAGCGAATCAACTTTGTACAACATTGTCAGATAAATAGCAACGATGGCATCGACTTGGTTTCTTGCTGTGCTTGTGCTCACCATACTTTGCCGTAAGTATACGACAATCAAGAGTTCATTAAATGAAATCAGTGGTGTCATTTTTCCTGTGGAGCATTGGTTTACATTTATATCAATTATATCCTTTAAGATAAATCCTTCATCTTGTTGGTCTTTTGTGTGGCAAATTGTGTAGAAAAAAAAATCAATTTTCCAAGAAGTGAGCGTAATATAAGCCTGGTATTCCAATGCATACTGACGCTATTCCGTGAAGATTTCACTGGATGTTATGCGCTCAATCATTTTACTAAAAACTTTTGATGAAGGGCGATAAGTCATTTTCCAGCTGTGAATAACATGCTTAAACTGTTCAGGGACACCACTAGGCCTATTAGTCCGTGGGCTGGGGGGGGGGGGTCCCCCAGCCCACTGACTACATGTCAACGAACGAGCAAACTAGGCCTACGCCAATTAAAAAGATTCTATGATTGTCATTAAACTTCATAGAGTTACATATATAGTTACAGTATATCTTCTTCTTGAAAAATAAATCGCAAGCAAGAGGTAAGTTTTCAACATGGCAGTGATTCTTTTACGCCTGGCCTAGTATATGAGTAGGGCCTACATTGAGTTTATTCTGGTATTTATCTTTAATTAAACACAGTTCGTTACGCGTGTGGAATATGGTACCAATTCTCAACAGTCTGATCCAGCCAATTATAGCGATTTTTCAACTATCAACATGCCATGCCTGTGCTGTGCACACACACTGTTCACCAATCATGATTTATTTTTTGACATTGATTTACAGAATTTTGTTCCTGTCACCCTATCAGCGAGGGGCCTACCCGTGTTGGACACTTACTTTCTTCAGGTAATTTACCAACCATTAAACTGAAAAGAGACAATACCTTAGCCCTTTCAGGACCCTGGAGTGGGGACGTAGTGTGCCCTTCCGAAAGTCGTCGTATTTTCCGCGAAACGCCATGAAATCTAAACATATTTGGGCAAATATGATTTCCAACAATTCTGTGGCCATCATGGTTGCCGTGTCAACTGATTGAAAACCCTAGTTTTATAAACTTGGGTCCTTTTCTTATAAAACCATGGAAATGTACAATTTATAGATAAATCTTCGACCAATTATATTAGCTTCACATTAAAATTCATGGACACGTGATTAACTACAATGCAGAATGAAGAAATACCAGGCAGTAGTATATAATTGTTTTGAATTTCGGATGATTATGATGACCTTATTTTAAAAAGTCAGTAAAGTGATAAAAATTGACAAGAATATTTGTACCAAATTTGGAAGCATTTAAATGAAAAAATGTATGTGTTATGTACACAACAAGGCCTTTTACTGGATGGGTTTTCTTTTTTTTGGGGGGGGACTTGAACCCTATCCTATGTCAGTTTTTATGTATTATTGTTTTGCTTCATAATTTTTAGGGAAACCAAATGCTGATTTTTAATCAGTTTGAATGTTCACATTATGCGGCTTGTTAAATTCCCGTTTTGCATGCTCATTTCATCTGGCACACTATGAACAATGTTCACTTCACGTCGAAATGTTAAGATGTATGCATGTGGGTTTTGTGCAATAACCTCCTGAAATGATGATTAAACAAACAAACAAACAAAAGCGCCGACAAACAAACCTCAACTGTGTAGTGACTTGTCCTCAAGTCTTAAGGTTTCCCAAAACCTTACTCTGGCTCAATACGAGGAGTCTCCATCACCAGCGACGCTCGTGCAGTCGAGCGACATTAAATCCTGATTGAACCTGTTGAATTGGTGAATAATTAATTCCTTATTATTTCATTAGCACCATGCAGCCCCAAGGCAGGAGGGATGGAAGACGGAGGAATCCCTGATAGCAGCATAACGGCATCGTCCGTCGTTAATAGTGGCCATCTCCCAAGCACTGCTCGACTTAATGTAGGTAGGTATCGTATCTTTCTATAAACAACAATCCTCTATAAATACAGGGTGAGTCACAAAGAAATTCAAAGTGACCTGAATTAATTAGTTCCCCCCTTAAACGCAATTACATTTTCATACACCAATGAAGCGTGTATTAAACGAGAATTGTCTTCCACTTATGAAAAAAGGAATTACTGACAGTGATCCATACTGTCAGAACTTATGCGTACATGTTTTATTAAAAGAACCCATTTTTACAGCCGTCCGTGAATTGCTATTGCGTAGAAGCTATCAGCAGATTGAGAACCCGAGATTACACATGCACAGGTATTCAAATACAAATGACTCAAGTCAAGTCTCTCAAGACTTAATCATTAGTTTATGTCAGACTATGTGTTTTGCATATGAGGAACAAATCAAGTCTGTTCCTCCAAATGATGATGGTGATATTTGTCTATTTTCCTGTGCAAGTTTTCGTTCTTTCATGGAGGTAGGAAAAACCCCATGGATCATTGTATTTCAAACGGTATTCATTCCATGCGTATTGGTACATGCTCAGTGGTGCATGGCTGAATTTGGGGGTATTTCAATTAAAATAGAGTGATTAGAGTATGCAAATGACGTGACATTTTCCCCGTTACCAGTCAAAAACATGTACTATAACTATATTATTTTTATAACATGGAGCGAGCCACATCAGTACTGTTTAATTTTGTTTTTCTAACTCGGTCACCCTGTAATGTTGTGTGTTTATATTATGGTAAGCCTGTAGGATGATATTACCATATTTATGTTGTATGCCGTTGCTTCTAATGGCGAATTTAGTCATTTGTCTTTCTGCTCATGCTTCCTTGCTTATATCCCAGCAGTGCTGTATCATTAGGGCCCAATTACTTGGCGCTGTTTAACGGCAGCAAAGAATATGTATATCAGAACATTTCAAGCTAAGAAAAGTGCAAAAATGAGTTGGTGAGAAAAAGTATGGTTTCACACGGCTTCTTCTAGACTATTTGCTCGCAGGTTTAGCGCAGAGTTTCGTACTATAATATACGCTGTAGGCACAGAATGGTGACCATAGACTTCAGTAATTAGCATCGACATGAAATTAATGGGCCAAGGTTGTCTTTCAGTGGATTTGCAAACACGGACATTCCCTTTATCGTTTCATTACACAAAACTCCATCATGAGGGCCAATTTACACTAGAAGCGCGGCGTCGCGTGGTTACAAACAGTTGGGTGGAAAAAAAACCCTCGGAACTATGCAAATTCATGCTGATGATTAATGAAAGGTAACAGTATCACCAAGCTCCATATATAAGCCCCCAAGCGGTGATTGGTCAGAATGCAGGTTTATTTTGGAAAATCTGCACCAGTTTTCACCAGCACTGCGGTTTATCGCTCGCGCTACCTCGCGGTATACCACTTGGTGAAATTGCCGATTGATTGTTTTATATTTAGATAAAAATTATGTTCATCTGAATTACATTCAAATTGTCTGCAAAACCTTGCCAGTGACCGTAGTTGTTGAAATAAATTCGACGTTTCGTAGCTGAAATACTCCGACTATGGTTCCCATCGCCGCTTCCACAATGTATATGTCAAAAGAAGATTTTAACCTCCAAATTGTAGGTGTTATTTCTGAATTTGCACATTATTTTCACATTGGCACATTTCCCATTATGATAATGAAACCATTCTATCATGTCCAACAGGAAGTAATGGATGGATACCAAGCGCTCCAGCAGATCAGTGGATCCAGGTCGACCTTGGTAAACCCATGGTGGTTATCGGGCTCACCATGCAGGGAGACGACAGCGTGACCTGTTGTCATGTCACGGCGTTTTCAGTCCAGCACAGCCTCACAGCCGAGTTGGATGACTGGCAGAGTTTAGCCAATGCAGACGGTGGAGCAATCAGAGTGAGTTACAGAGGGCGCTTTCCAACAGCATCGTTTGCCTAAACATGTTAGTTCCAAATTGGAACCAAGATATTTCATGTAGAGATTTCGATTGAATTGAAAAACCGAACTAATTTGTTTGTTTGTTTTTTCTCATCTCTTTAAGTCGATAAATATAATTCTTTGTCGTTCCATTTCATTAGTGTCAAGGTAAACGATGTGTTATTTAATTTAATTGGTTGTCTTTTGGAGTTTCTTTGAATTATTACTTGATTTGTGACAACATTTCATAAATCTTCAGTTAAAATCGTGCCATTATTTTCATCCTTTAATCTCCTCCATCACTATTCATGACAGGAATTTTGAGTGAAAAGACCAAAGCGCTGATACGAATAGAAAAAAGCAGAATATCCATCTGAGGTTATTGTTCCGAAGCTAGGACCAATTAGAGTACTAAATCTGTAGATCATCAGTCTGCGAAAAGGATATCTGTTGGTAGGAATTTGAAGCAGAAAGTAACACAATCCAGACCAAAGATGTTGTGGATTGAAATATAAATGATATATGCTCCTATCGTTTGGTTTTTATAAGGGAACTGGTAAATGCAACCGGGAAACCTGTATTAACTAAATTACTATTGTCGATGGTAACTGTAGCGATAGCTAACCAAAGGCAAACTATTTTCCAAGCTGTATCTGTGTATGCCAATAAGGGAAAACCATTATGCAACATTTTCTGTATCGGCACGTTTCGGAATGTTCGAAATGAAAATTGCACAGTTCCACTCTAATCCTGCTTGTACTTGTTTTTTTTTTTTTTTTTAGTTCACCTTGAGCAGTGGTCGGCCGACGAACGTCACCTTTCCTGTGCTACCCATGGCAAGGTTTATTCGCATACTACCCCTGGCCTGGGTTCATCAGCATTACAGAGTGAGGTTTGAAGTATTTGGGTGCCAAGGTACTGCACGAACGCTATTCATTTGTTAAAGAATAATCACATTTAGCAAAGTCATCATTTCGTCCAAAAATTATTTAAAGGTGTTTAAGACATGACATTTTACAGCCCGACCTGAAGATGAGATTATTTTTTCAAATTAAAGCGTTAATGTTAAAAAATAATATCATCTGCACAATGTCTTCCCATTGCATTCAAATTGGTTCAGTAATATTTTTTTGTAATGGACAACACAATTTCCTGAAGTTCGATAAAAAATGTTTTTTTTCCCCATTACATTGTATTTTAAATCAAATAAAACAAAACGAGTGAAGCTGATATCACAACGGATTGATAGTGTAATGTTTTTAACTTTTCTAAATTGAAGTCGTTCTCATAGTTTAATTCTAACTGTCAAACTATTTTACAGTCCCAGATGGTTATGTGAGGTTGGTGAATGGCACTGATGCTTCTCGTGGCCGAGTTGAAATCTACCACCACGATACAGCATCCTGGGGAGCGGTGTGCGCTAATGACTGGGGGATAAACGACGCAATCACGGTGTGCCGTCAGCTGGACCTCGGTGCTGCAATCCAGGCCAACACAGCCTCAGAATACGGGAGAGGTGACCTGCCGATCATGATGAGCCGAGTCGCCTGTGAGGGGACGGAGAGCCGACTGGTCGACTGCCCGTTTGTCTGCACCGACTACCAGCAGTGTGAAAGCTCAAACGTTGCCGGAGTATTTTGCTACCCAAAAAGTAGGTGCCAGTTTTAGTCCGCCTGATTATAACTGAATGTATTGTTCCGTCTTCTTATCAAAATTTAATGTTTTGCTCATTAGGCGTGTTTTTATTTATTCGTTGGTGGATTTAATGTCACAGTACTTAATGATTATGTTCACTCCTCCATGTTTACTGGATTCCGATAATTTCCTTCCTCGTACTATACTTGTGTTTTACTTTTTGGAATGATCCCGTGTTTGTTTGTTTGTTTCAGTTTTTTTCTTGCGAATTTTATGTTATTTTTTTTCACCTCAAACCGTTCACTCCCTTTACTCCAGCTATGTGTTTGGAATTGTAGGCTACGGTTAACCATATTCATAAACAAATGGTCGGGTTCCGATATTTCATTAAGATAAGTTGAAGTAGCGAAAATGGTTTTGTCCATAAAGCAGCTATTTTGGCCTTGTTTACATTTTAATTTATAACAATGAATGCATAAATGTCTTCTAAGTCTTCTTAAACATTACGAAACAAACGTCTGTTGTCATGTACATGTTGACTTTGCTTTATTTTATTCCCTGAATCGTACTTGAAACAGATACTCTTCGGTTGGAGGGAGGTTCCAATGAATTCAGTGGCCGGGTGGAGATCTTCCGAAACTACACGTGGGGAACGATCTGCGACCGTGGCTGGGACGCCACGGATGGCGGGGTGGTCTGCCGACAACTCGGGTACAGTGGCGCCGTGGAAGCCAAGTCCGGAGCGCACTACGGGGAAGGAAGCGGCCTCATTCATATGGAGGGCGTGGCCTGTACCGGCTCAGAGGAGGGACTCGCTAACTGTCCGTCCCTCTGCTGGACAGCATCCACCTGCAGCCACAGCCGAGATGCCGGGGTCATCTGCAGTGTCGGTAGGAATACAGACAGCTTTTGATTATCTTATGAAACAACGCACAATTAATTTAATAATTTGGGACGCACCACTCTGCTTTGCAATCACTGGCATAGCACAAACACTGAAACAATTTAAACAAACTAAAAGCAGCCGCTGGAATTTAAAGGCTATGTAATACGCAAAACCCATGGAGGTCTCACTGTATTCAAAATAGTGGGTTGATCATTTCCAAAATCTGTATTTTAAAATTAGAATCAAACATTTTTGATGATAAATCAAGTGTCACACAAGGAGTCTATACAAATTCATCAAGGTGGTTGTCAGGTGAAGCGCGCGCATTTTGGGAACCCTATTGGTCAAAGGAGGATTAAGAGTGCGTGCTCGTAGTGCGAGTCAGATCGTTTTGTCACCACCGTAATGGCTTCTAAATATTAAGGTCAATGGATTAGTCTGTTGTAAATGTTATAATTAGGACTGTATTTGAATTGGATTTTCTCTACTTTCGTTTGTTTTAGAAACCAGTGGTTCTGAAGAAACCAACCCTGAGTGACGTGACTATTGACAACTGGCTTCATGCAGTGCCTGCGATAGCCCTGCTTATAGGCCTATATGGCATACGCTTGATATAAAGGTTACTCCGTTGTGTATTAAATGTTGAATTTTGGCAGGAAAATTGGTTTTCAAACAAATGCTTCCAAATTTTACTCAACACTTCTTGAAGTCAATATTCATTCAATCAATAAACGTTTGGCATCGAAAGTTACCGCTAAGGGACGGATAACAAATTTTGGGGCAAAATTATTTTGTCATTTTGTCACAAAAAAGTTGAATCGTTCTACCAAAATCGGCAGAAAAGAAAGGTGAAATTAACATAATATGGGGATGTAGCATTAATTAAGAAACTACACTGTATAAAAAATTACCCAAACTTTGTGGAGACGAGGTGAAAAAACCCCTACTTTTTGCGCCGATTGGGGCCATGTTGGGCAAGCATGCATTTTAGTTGGTCACATGACCATGAAGTTCAAATCTAAAGTAGATACTGAAATGTTTTGTGTGCATCGAAACTTTGGTTTTGACCCACAAAACTGCAAATGTCCATATTCTGAATACAAAAATAAACATGTTATGCCTACTATGTAGTATTTTTTTAAAAATTGTTTGGCATGGTAATCATAGAATCCCACAGAAGTTGTTTGACACCTTTAATATAAATGGTACGTTTGATTAGCTCAACTGGGTCGGCTTGGGTAAGTAGCCCCTTGCCATTCCATCATTGTCGGGGCTCCTGACTAACTCGGGTCAGCCACCTCGTACTGTCGTACAGACCATTCTTGGTGAGCAGAGTCAGTGGTGGAAATACGTCACACGCATGCGTTTTTCATTCCAAGAAACGGACAAATATGGCGGTCGAACAGAGGAAAAAGATGGAGTTGACCCAGAAATAAGCTTTATTTGAAGTCTAAAAATAGGCCTTTTGAGCTCATTGCGACTTTAGAGTATTCCAGCCCTATTTTGTTACTGTTTGCGATTGACGGAAAAGCAGTAAATCTCGAAGTCAGACTCAGTTTGTCGTTTTGTCAATGGCTCCCCTTGACTACGGACCGTCGCGTTAGGATCTTGATGGTCTAAGTTTGAGCGTTTGATTAGCACAACTCTCTTGCCTAACCCGTCTGCCTTTATTACCCGAGTCGATCCGGATGAGCTACTCGAACGCATCCCGTAATTAAGAAAATTCAACAAATTTCATGCTAACCAGAAAAGGTTCAATGAAGGGAAAACAGAGAAAAACGAAATTTCACTCAATACAATGTTATTTACTTTTTTATATTTACCTTATTTAGGACGGATTTGGGTTCTGTTTGTTACAAGAGAAAGCAAGTGCATTTTACAATCAATAGTGCTGAAAGAGTCACACTATGTTACTTTGATTAATTTTCATTCATAATTTGCTCTTGCTCAAATTTGTTTTTCAATTGGCATGAACAAAACGCATGATGAATAGCATTAACATGTACATTGTGTAATACATATTGTGTAGTAAAATAAAAGGCATGTTAATACAGTGCGGCGTATAGCAGAAACTGCTTTGTAGTATTGCTTATGAATATTTATATAACAGTATCTTACATTCTCTTTAGCCTCTAATGAATACTTCGTTCTTGGAATCTACAGTCAAAATTGCATCTTATAACAAATTATTTACATATTCTTCTTTGATCAAATCTTTGTCATATTTTTGAGTACACGTCAAATTCATGACTCATGAATATTCACACTCAGTCTGCCATTACTCATATTTCTGAAGGTTTATTTGCTATGCTAGAAACATCGATTTATTTTTCACAATCATTATTGTTATCAAACGTACACGAGGTGCTCGTAGTTAATAAATCAATGTGTTGCATTTATTAAAGCTGTTTGTTAAAGATTAAATCGCTTGCCAATTTATTTTAAAAACTTAATCATCAATCCATAAGAATCTTACCATATTATTACTCTCTTTGTAAGAATATTACAAATTCCTACTTGCTTAGATTCTTATAAGAATGACAATTTTCTCTTCATCATTTTTATCGATAAATATGTCATGGTAGTCAAAAACCTACTCTTAAATCTGGCGAATTCAAATTTTTATCAATATTTGCTTTTCAAGATACTTGGACCGGGCTGCATCAATAATGACAATTTTCAGGTTGATTTGGTTACACAAAAAAATAATCAGCCATTTGATTTATTGAAATCATAACCGAAAGGGAATGATTAATCATTCTAAGACATGATGTTATTCCTGTGTTCCTAGTTATGGTAATAAAGATGTTAGAATGTGTCATCACAGCTTGTACTTCTGGTGTTGCTGCTCTTCAGACAGTCTGCAGGTGCATGATGGTCTCATGGTGATTGGGTTCCAGATTAGTCAGTAGCTGGTCAGCGATACAATTGCGCAGCCTGGTGCCGACCTGCCCGAAAAATCAAATATGTAGAAATAGAAACAATGGCAGAAGTTCAGTCTGAAATTATGAATAATTTAAAACTACAAGAACAGTACACGCTTCCTTAAGATTAATACAGGCAACAACATGTGCGCCTCTCTAGTGCTCCACTGCATATTCCAGCCGCGCCATCACAAAGTGCATTCAGATCAGACTTTTGTTGGTCATTTGGTTGCACAATAGACTGCAGGTACATAAATGACATCATGAATTGTTTGCATGTGTGACTTCCCATTGGGAGTCGCTGGCTCGCGTTCCCACCTGGCTCCCATAAAAAAAACGGTCGTATAAACAAAGTGTGACATATCATTATGATTCAGTGCTATTGAGACTGTAATTAGTCACAACGTCACGGGGAAGGAGCTTCATGTGTCAATCATTTGCAAGATGAAACAAAATAAATGAACGAAGGAAAACTTCTTACACCTAACCTCTCAATCAAAAGCAACAGATATCATGCTAAAATTATTATCCAGAGCAGTTTCCAAACTATCCTGTTGATTTTGTAATGCATTGATTGAAGTGACTGGAGCCAGCATCAAACAGAATCCAAGTGCTGTACCCATCCGATTCTCACCGTCTTGAGTCTCTGTATGACTCGGTCGTACCTCTCGTTGTTTGGCAAGTGGTAGCCAGGAAGGGTGAAACTTGAATTTCGGACTTTTGAGATAAAGTCATTTTGGGGCTATTTGGGGCGCTGTTTGCATTTGATGAACTCTCAAATCCGACCTTATGGCCGTTTGTTTCAAAGATAGTTGGATGTGTCTCCAATACATTGTGCACCTTGGATTCAGTTACTTTGACAAAAGGGCGAGTATTGAGATGCATGTCGTGTTGAGCTAGATACAACTGGGCAAAAGGGTGTAATTATCCAGTTACGTCTTTGTCCATCTCATATAGTAAAATGGTGCTTGTGCATGGTTTTCGATACCTTAACAACAGCAATAACAACAAAAAAACCCTAACATTTGTGCAACGTGTTTACAACATTATGTACAACCTGTGGTATAAACATAGATTTAATTGTCTGATTGTAAAAACAGAAAACTTGAAAGACCTATACTGAACTTTCGATCTCATTTTTCTCAGAATGCGTTGTTATTTTTTTCAAGATGCACCCTCCTGTCTGTGGTGTTTGGAGGTCACACCCCTGCACAGGCGCTCACACTACTTGCTACTCTGTGTCTTTTGGGTCGCTTGTCGGCGTTGGTGCTCTGGACTTGGATTTCAATGCTGTCTTAAACATTTCTAAATATAAGACACGTGAATAGTGAACACATATTGTCATTATGCATGTTAAGTTTGGGCCTTTCCTCAAACCTTGGCTTCAAAACCAACTTTGGCTTCAAGTTTCCTGCCTTTAGAGACTCTAGCCCGATGAATTCTTTTCATGCTATAAAGCTAGAAAAATCAAATTGAATAGTAAGCCCTGGTTCGAATTCAAGATATTTGGTTCGAACACTGAAGGCTGAATATTTCAATAGCAAGAGACAAAGCCAAGGCTAGACACAAAACTTGCTCGTTAGGTTGATGTTGTGTCAGAGTATGACGCACAATACAGCACCAACCCCATGCTCAGTCGCTGCGATAGTGATGATGGGCGACCCGCTCCGGCCGCGCCGTCTCCCCAACGTGGGGCACTGGCACGGCACTCGATTGGCGGCGCTTCCGAAACCCTGGCGTGTGTCACTCCCCCTACACCCGGAAGACAGCACGGTGGCCGGCTCCACCGGAACGGGGGCCGGCCGGGGACAACCAAACCTCGGCCCCTTGCATAGGCGTAGCCAGCAAGGGGGGGGGGGTATTTACCCCCTAATGTTTTGTAAAGACTGGCTGTTTCCATTCAAATACCCTTTTTTCAACGGGTCCCCCCCCCCAATAATTTCTAAAGAATGCCCTTTTTTGTAAGAAGTGCCCTTTCCTTCTAAACAAGTGCCCCTTTTAAAAAAAGAAGTGGTGCCCTTGTTTGTCGCATCTGCCGTTTTGGGTGCTTTTACTGAATTTTGCATACGTATCGCCCTGAAAAGCACCATATATTGGTCATTTGTGTGCATAATCGTCGGTTTTGAATAGCGCCCCCATCGACAGATAGTACCAGCCCCCCCCCCCCGTTTTATTTTATGGAGGCCAAGTGTCTACATTTCACCACGGATGTGCAAGTGCCCTTTTCAAAAATCCCCCCCCCAAATATAAATGACCGTGCTACGCCACTGACTTGGACGGCCTGGTTTTTCTCTCTCTGATCCGTAATGATCCTTCCGCAGATTACCTACGGAAACCTTGTTAGGGAAGCTCCATGGGCCACGTCCCAGCAGCTATAGCAGCGTGATATTCAGCCGATGGCTCGTCCGTTTTTTGGGGGCATTTTGACACCTTGCAAAACTTCCGATGATGAATATAAACGACCCTCACAACAGGCGACAGGGCGGATCCAGGAATGTTCGCAGGGGGGAAGGGGTGGTGTTCATCAGCAAAAAACCCTGAAATGTAGACTTTTTTCCTCCGGAAACTTTCAAGTTCGCATCCGAAAATCAATAGGTGGGGGTGGGGGGCTCGCACCATACTTTCAATGAGGTCGCTTTTCAAAGCCGACGATTATTAACACTAATAGTGTACAAACCAATTACTCAATAGAATACAAATTCAGTCTGCCTGAATCAACAAATTGCAAAATTGGACGTTGAAACCTATAATTTAAAGGGAATATACAACATTTGCAAACATCGAAAAATAAAACTACCAAGTTTTTGCGAAATACCTTAATAGGATGTTGGTAAATGACAGTCTAAAGCATCCTGTAAAATTATGGCACCTGGTATACTGTCATTTTCAAGAAAAGTGGTATTTTTGTATCAATTTCCAACGCTGATCGGCCGATCAGCGTTGGAAACAACTGGCTTTTTTTCAAATACTGGCCCCAATTGAC